ATTAAAAAGGTGGCTATAAAGTGAAAGTAAGGTGGAGATAATGGACATTTCAATCAATTTCCCTAAAATGACGAGACTTTATTCAAGACATCGCAACTTACTAGGATCTGCATTCAACTTTAACAAACACTGGTATAAAGTGAAGGTAAAGCCCTTCTTTTGGAGTCGAATCAAAGCAAGTCAATCGCAGAGTTCAGTTGGACAAACCACTTGGGTTGTGGTGCACTGGTTAAGTCTCAAGGAATGTAGTGTAAAATCTCATTTACCTTGAGTTTGAATCCAGACACTAACAAGCCCTTGGCCCATGGAGGTTCACCTGCGATGACCACATGCCATTCATGGTGGTACTGGGGATTAGTCGATCGATGTGCGTAAGCTACCTCGGAACATGGTTACCCCCCAAAAAGAAGTTAAGTTCCACAATCTTATATAATATATTGAAGACCGTATGGAAATGTCATTAGCTAACGGCCACTTAGATCGTGAGGTCCGTTCAGAGGGTGAGATATATGTATACATCACCTCTACCCTCAAAGAGTAGAGCGACTATTTCCTTGAATACCCCAACTTTTGAGAAGTACGTACATGACAACATATCCTATGTAAGAAAAACACCAACCTCCAATTAATTAAAAAAAATGTCATCAACTTTTACCGAAGGTTTTACGGATGTCACTTATCTTATCGGGTGAGTATGATAAGATAAGTGATAAAAACAAAAAATCTTATACGGTAAGAGACATGGTAAGACCGAGTAAGTGACAGAAAAGACTCTTACACGATAAACGCTTAGACTCTAACTTCAAGCAACCCCTTAAGCGTATGAAGTAAATAAGATACAACTAATTGTTGCTATTTTAGCAACACTGTATGGAAACGGGCCGAGTATTGGGCGGATAATGCATCTCCTGTCTCCAACCTCCGTTTAAGCTACTTGCCCCGACTAGTAATGACGGGGTTAGAGGAGAAGAAGTCCCTGGTGGGCTTGGTAACCCATTGGGTGCTCGTTTAGTAAAATATTAATAAAACAATGTGTCTTAAAATTAAAATTAAAATGAACCATCATTACATTAATTACCAATATTGAAAATCAAATATATTTATCATTTAATAATAAATATATATATATATATATATATATATATAGAGAGAGAGAGAGAGAGAGAGAGAGGGGATATCAAGTGAGAACCACAAAAATGTTACAAACCCATGAGAACTGATTTTTAAATATCTTTTTTACATGATTTTTTTATTAGATGCTAAGATTTAAATATTTTTCATCGTATATTTGTTTCACAACGTGATAGTTTCACATGTATTTGTTTTACCACATAAATATTTTTTATGTAAATTTTTTGTTTCACCAAGTGAAACAAAATAATAATAATTCACATGTCATTTTATTCATAAAGTGAACATAAACGTATGTGAAACAATATCTTAAATCATAGTTTTTGATGAAAAATACCATATAAAAAATATTTTTTTGTCAGTTCTCACGAGTTTATATTTTTTTGTGGTTCTCGTTTGATTATACACACACAATATATACATATATTAAATAAAAATAAAGAATTTAAGTGAGGTCGGATTAGGGACGGATAATACCATCTCCGAACCCACTTTGGGTATGAAGTTAGATCCGTCTACGCCTCGTTACCCGTCAAATCGAGGAAACGGGTAAAATTTTCATCTCTAAATATACCGATATTGGTTTTTTCTTTTCTTCAGTTGCCATTGTGTGTGATTCTCGATCCTAACAAGCATTATATGAACTACAGCTAAGATATGACAACAAACATTAATAACTGATAATTATATCTACAATTTCCGAAACAAAGAGTTTATCATTAAACCCGCTTTAATGAGACGGGGAAGGTTGGCTTGCCGAAGACTTCAGGACATTTTACAATTTCCTTCGTGTTTTTTCCTCCAACTTCGTCCACATTCTTTTAAGAAATCCATAAAGATTTTGACGCCGCGATCCTCGTCAACAAGTCCTTCAATAGCTTCGGTGGCATGTTAGACCAATAATTCTGCTTCGAATCGTCAGTAGTTTCCATAAAGCTATCATCAACCATTGACTATAACCTCGACTTCGATATATCTTGTTCAAAACGAACAACTGTAACCACAATGGTGGTGTCTGATTGGTTTGAGCTTGGCTCCAAAGGTCAAAAGTATCGGAGGTCCCAGGTTTAAATCCAACGAGGAATAAAAATCTCTTTGTGGCCACGGAGGTTCAAATGCGGTGACTCTGGGCTACCTGCAAAGCAGGTGATCGCTCTGGAATTAGTTGGCTCGCACAGCGGATTAGATATCCAGGTTAATAAAAATAAAATAAAATGAGCAACTGTAGAAAATAAGTTTAAACCGTTGAAGTTGGTCTAAAGTTACTCCAATTATGATTATCTTTAGTACATCAACTTGTAATCAATTTTGAGTTGATTTTTATTTTATTAACCTGGACATCTAACCCGCTATCCGAGCCGACTAATCTCATGACGACTACCCGTGCACCACATTTGAACCTTCGTGGTCACAAGTGGATTTTATTCCTCTTTGAATTCGAACCTGTACCCTCCAGACACTTTTGAACTTTGGAGTCCAAGCTCAACCCAATCGAACACTATCTTTATGATTTTAATTCGAACCTGAGACCTCCTTGATTTCTATTTTATGAACCATCTTTTTAAAAAAATGTCATTTTAGGATTTGGAAATAAACTTTACCAATGTTTTATTTTGTTTACTTGTCATGTATATCTTTTTATTAAACGACACATAAGATTTAATCAGAAAACAAAAAAACTGATATGATATGCCATGACGTAGAAATTTCAATGTAAACCCTAAATTTGGTCCCAGTCGTTTGTTAAAAATATATTTTTTTATTTCTATATTTTCGAAATTCCAACGTGATCATCATGATTTGTCTAAACGTCCGAGTTTCATTTCACCCTCTAACAACCACTAAAACATTTCATTAAATAACATGCATTATCGTCTTTATTGATTTTTTTTTTGTCTTTTCCCGATCAAAAACCACATGCTCATAAACCGGTGTGGATTGAGTAAAAGACAAATAATTGAAAAAAATGACGAAAATGCCCCTTACGACCTTTACATAAATGGACCAAATCCCACAACGATCTTCTTGTAGTTTCAAAACTGCAGGAAGAAAAGAGTTATTTTCGACAAACCACGTGGACGAAGTTTGAAGTTTACTCTAAATTCATTATAAATGATACCTAAAATTCCATGTTATATTTAGAATAAAAAATCTATTCAACTCATCGCTTCTCGTTAAAATATATTTCATTTTCATGCATTTTATCTTGATATGAAATGTAATAAATACATTGATTTAATGAAAACATACATATAACTAGAAGAAGTTTGCAATCATATCATATACAGCTGAGTACATGGTACACATGAGTAGTTGTGGCTTAAATTAGTCCATTATTGTTCATCATAGTTTTCACCGACAATTTTATCCACTTCTTGCCATGGTAACAGAACGGGGATGGGGTGAAGTTTTGTAATCTCCGGTTCCGACCCCGGTTTGTAGTAACATCCCTCGGCGGGTATGGAGATAAATTAACATCTTGTCCCGGTCAAACCTCTGTCAATCCCCGGTCAAACTCCGATCAAACCTCATGAATAATATCCGTTAGTTTGATTATACCAGAGATCTATGATCCTGATCTGATTAACATCCCTCTGGCCCCCGGGACGTTTTAGCGGGGAATCCCCGTCCCCGTTTGGATCGGGTGAACCAGGTTCCTCACCGGGTAGGGGCAAATCAGACCCTATTCACTTCATAACAAAATCGGCTTTTAGGCTATTGTAAAATTAAAATATTTCATTTTTTTTATAGTTTATAAGCATGGGTTCATGTGGTTGTAGAAGGTAACAAATCGCGTACAATGTGTACCAACCCTATACGTTAAAAGGTTATATGCTTCTACTAATAAGACAAGGCTAAACAGATAAAACATACAACAATGGTATCAAGCATTTGGATTTTTTTTATTAACATGGATATTCAACCCGCTATGGCGACCACCCGTTTTACGGGTAAACTGAAGTCACCGCATTTGAACCTTCGTGGCCATAAGAAGGGGGGGGGGGGGTTATACCTCCTAATATTTTTGACATTTGGAGCCAAAACTCAAACCAATCGAACACCACCCTTGTCATTGCATTTGGACTTTTATCATCAAAGTCATGGATATCATCAAAATCCCAAAAGCAAATGTATTTTCATCTCAAAGAGCTTATACATTTTGTAGATTACAATATGAATTATATCATTAAAATATTCAATACATTTAATAAATATTTTTATCAGTACATTTAATTTCAACGATTATCATTGATAGTAATAGTAAAAAATAATTGATCTTAACTGGTAATCATTTTTGGAGAGTAACACAAACTTTAATTGTAAATCATTGAACTAAGAGACTGTTTGGCAGTTGTTGAATGGTTTGATGCATAATGATTAAGTAGTCAGAATGATTACGAGACCTTCATAATACAGTGCAAAATGAAATATAATTGTTCGGTAATTGTTTACAATGGAATTAAGGCACCGAATGGTTAAGGAAGACTCATGATACAAAATAATTCTGAGGGTTTTAGAACCATTAAGAGACATTTTTTTTGTCAAACAATATTTATCTCTTAACGATTCAAATACTCCCTTTTAATGAAACTATTAAGAGATAAAACTGATTTTTAACGTGTTTGATAAATATAATAAATTTTTTAAATTTATGCCACTGATGACATATATTTGATATTTTTACATCCGCATCTACAAGAGAATATATGTTTATAAAAAGGACCAAAGAGGCAAGGAATAGAACTTAGTGTGTGGATAAATTAAAACAATAAAGTACAAGGACTAATTTTGACACTATATATAGATTGAGGACTAAAAGCGGTAAAACTTGCCCTTCTATAAAGTCTTATCCATACATGATCGGTTTCGTCCGGTCACCGCGCAATTTCGCCAATATATTTGCGAAGCTGACCCTAATTTTCCCGCCATCAGATCTTCCAAATTACGAAACTATAAACCCTAATTTTACATCTCATGGAGTCCTTATCCTTCATGTTCCAAACTGCAGTTACCTCAAATCTCGATTCAGTTCGTCGGCCGGAAATTTACAGTAGAACTTTCACCATCGGCGGATCTCCGGCCCGTAATGTTCATGTCACTTCTCATTTAAAGAATCGTCGTTTTATCTCTGTTCAAACGCGTTGCTCGTTTTCGAATTCCGGAAGTGATGGAAAAGGAGAAGAAGAATTGGAAGGATCGGTTGAAGAAGTTACGATTCCAAAAGCCTGGTTGAACTCTGCGAAAGCTTTGGAGGTAATTTGATTGATACTTTTAGTTGATTTTATCGGACCATTGAAGTGATTTTCCTGTTACATTTTCTTCTACATATCGTATGCGCAGGGTGCATTCATTTGATTTTAAGTTGAATCTAGTATTAATGGATACTTATCATCATTAAAGTTTTAGTTTATTTATGAGGCACATTGGAATAATAAATATAAAAAATCTGTGGTTCTGGTTGGATTCACACCAACTTATATTAAGTTTTTGTTATAGTACTGCTACGGTTCTACCAGAGAGTTGCAAACATGACAGGGGTTAGTAGCAAACTATAGCGATCTTGTATTTTTTGGTACGGAGTGTTTAATTTATGTAGTGTATGATGGAGACTTAAGAATTATGATGGTCGAAGGTCATCTAATCCAATAATCAATTGTTAAATGCAAATGATGTTTGGTGGTACTCATCAGAGACCTCATGTAGATTAATTAAAGGAATATAAACTTTGAAGCTCTAGAAGGTTCATGAAAGCTGGATCTATCTATCATTTTAGAAGATCATTGAAAGCATGAAAAGCCTGCTGCTGTGTAAAACATATACCAAGTAGAGGATGATTCTTAGTTGATATAGTTGTTTTCTGTCACAAATGATTACAGAAGTTTTAATTAGCGGTTAGTAATGCTTGACTTTATCTTGGGTGCTCCAAGGTTATATCTAAAAAAACAAGTATAACTGATTTTTGGAAATGGGTGATTCCAGGCTTTGCCCACACTAATCCCATGGCAAATTGCGACTGTAGGCTTCGCCCAAACCCTGAGGTAAATCTCCCTGTCGCCACAAGCATATACGTAGATGGCTGATTTTATCATCCCCTTGTCCTTATGCACCACGCTACCACCCTTGTGATTCAGTAGAATTGATTTATCAGTGACAAGGAAAGTAGATAAACAAATTACCTGGTCACTAACCTAGCTAGGCTGTTTGATTATAGTAAATTTGTGGTTAATATAACATTGATGCTTACTAACTAGCTAGGCTGTTTGATTATAGTAAATTTGTGGTTAATATAACATTGATGCTTGTCTTGGCAACTTTTTTTGTGATAGAAGTACTCAAGTACTTGCTTTATCCACCCATCAGACCAACTATTTTTTTTGGATGCAGAAGGTATTTATAATTTATTTGAAGTTGTAATCACTATGCTCTGATGTTTGAGGGCATGCTTCATGAAAAAGTTGTTAATTCAAGTAACTGTTGCCCAGATCTGATATGGTTTCAGTTCTAAATCTAAAATCATCTGGAGAGCTACATATCTGAATTACTGAAGTTATTACAGCTTCTTGTTGTATAGACTGTATTATTGGTAATACCCTACTTGGTAGCATTTACCTGTTTATTCTCCTCATGCGAGGTCCTAGAAGTCATATATTTGGATCATTGTTAGGTTCTCATACTCCTTGGGAGATTTTACTCTTATATGAGTATAAAACGATCATCATATCTTATTCCCGACTTACTCAGTTACTCAGAGCCATTTTTGAGTGATGATCTTGAAGTCTAGTGGATCTTTTCAACTGGACCTACACTCTGACCTTGCCTCACTGCCTTCAACCCGTTAATCTCCATTACAATGTAGGGTGGGGGGGTGGGGGAAGGCAGAAATGAGTTCATGCCACAACGACGCCTATGGAAGGGAAATTTCTCAAGATTTTTGGCTCGCAATAAAGCTAGAGTCCTGTTTGGGATCTGCCACAAGCAGTTGGGCTCTATGAGACCTGAAATCTACTGTTATGCCTTCAAGTCTAAATTACTAAATATATTCTTAGAGAGTGGGCAAGGTTTCTACATAATTAGTCCTACCAAGGGAAGTTCAAACGAGAACCATAAATATTTTGAGAATTTAGGAACCAACTATTTCATGTATCATTCAGGATACATTTTTGTTATGAATATCTGTCACGACATTTATCATGAATAAAACATGTATAATTGGTTCATAGGTTCTCAAAACATTACGGTTCTCATTTGAACCTGCCCTTAGATTTACCAGATATACCAAGAGTGCTTATTGCATTTCTGTCGCATGTGAACTGTGATTTAAACGAAAAAAAACTGTCTGGATACAAGTAAATATGGTGGTTTTCCCTACTCTTCAATTAACCATTCATATTCTTATCGGAAGTATCTTAATGGAACTTTGGAAGGGTAAATGTGTGTGAATTTGTATTTTGATATCTGCATGTGCTGCTGCATACTCAAAATTAATGGCATTCCGCAGGAATCAGAATGGTTAAGAGTAACCCTTCACAAGTGGTTGGACAATGAATATTGTCCAGAGCCAACCAACGTGGACATTAGCAATGTTGCTGCCTCGTCATACTACAAATCTTTAACAGAGAACCAAACTGACCTAGGTGATATATTGCTAAGGATGGCAATGGAGCTGGAAAGCATATCGTATAAAGAGAGCTTTCACGGAGCGTTTTCATCAGCGAATGCAGCTGTCAACCTCATACTCGAGCGACTAGTGCAGGAGTGAGTCCCCTTTACCAGGTTTGAATTATTTTGTTTGATATTTGCCCACCACATTCTTATGTTATATTCATAAGTTGTTTGTAATTAATAATTCATTTAAACTCATTGTAATCTATGGTGTTAAAATCGCGATATATCGCCGATATATCGGATATCAGTCTCTGGAAAAATCTTGATGGTGAAATATCGGTTCCGATAATATCGTTGATATATACCGATATTTTGATGGAAAAATCGGTCCGATATACGGATTTTCTACAAGACAAATGTTTGGGCTTTTTTTATTATATGTTGGGCTTAGTTTTTTGGGCCTCTTTATTTGGTCAACCAGTCAACACATATATTAGGTCTCACGCTGTTTCTAACGAAAAAGTGAACGTATTAGATGATGTTGACTCGGATGCCGAACCTATTGCTTGCGATTAGCTCGTTTTTGAACACTTTTCCTATTTTGTTTTGTGAGACTTGTTTATGTGATGTTTTAATTTTAAAACTATATTTCTAAACTCTAATTAATGCATATGATATGTTTATGGATGCATACGCGCACACACACACATATATATAATTCTAAGAAATATTATATTAACCGCTATTTTGGACCGATATAACCGAAATATCGAATATCGGGGTTGACCGATATTTTGTATTTTGACTGCAGTAACAACATGGATTGTAATTAGGAACATGGGTTGTGTTCGCGAAACTGATTCATAATTTAATTGAATAGATGTATCTAGGGAGAATTAACTGGACAAAGGGTCGCGATCCCGCGAGGGTGAGCTAACTCCAAAAACCCGTCCAAGTGATTTTAGTGTCATCATGCCATTTAGTGTGATTGAAAATACAAGAGGATGATATGGTTCTTAGTTAAGCTATAACAAGGGTAAGGTGGTGTGGATTGCTCACTTGTATAAGCTAACATGAACCTGGGAGGATTTCGCCATATGGCGGTGGGGGGGCTGCCCCCGGTCAAGGGGCAGAGTCCCTTGCGGTATGTAAGAGGGGTTGACACTGGAGCTGATGTAGTCACCTTCAGCGTTTAGCCACTCTAGTGATCCATGCTCAACACACCTATATGAACTGGACAAAAATTTCTCCCGTCAGAGGATGAACGCAAGGAGACTTGACATGGGTTTACTAACACGTTTCTAGGACGTCTATTAGCATGTTAAATCTTGGTTTTAGTACTGTTGTAACATGCCTCCAACAAGATTGTGACGGCCTCCATATATACTTTATACGGAGGGAATGTGTATAATATATTGAAGACAATTATGCATAGTAGAACTAGGAATGAAGTGGTGGATTCTTTCCAGGAGGCACCTTTCACCATCCCAAATAATGGAGGGTCCAAGTCGCTACTTTCATAAAAATTGTTCACTTCAAAATTTTGAAGTCGATACAAAAATTTAAAATCTATAATATGGATTTTGTTGGTTTTTTCTAGAAGAAGTTTGTGTTGATGTCGATGGCTCCTGTGCTCATTATTATGATAGGAAACATCATGTGTGGAGTTATGTCTAAAGCTACTGATATACTTTTGTTGGTAGAGTTCCATAATCTTGAACTTGTTGCTAATAAATAGTTTTATGATCCAAGTATTTACCAAATTCTTATTGTTATTAGGTAAGCGCTTACCAACAAGATCATCACTCTTACTTACCTTATCTAGTAACATTCTCGGCCTTTAAAACAAAGCGTCTTTTACCTGGTAAATGCTTAACGCGAGTAAGGCTTATTTCTCTCAATTATCGTATAAGATTCTCGGTCGTTGTCATGCTTACCTGGTGAGATAAGTGACACCCGGTAAGGGCTTACCCATTAAGAGTTCTCTAAACGGCCCCTAAAACCCAAAGGAACATCAACAAACCTACAACAGTTGGTAAATAAGACTACAAAACCAAACACAAGAAACCAAAGGAAGTTATTGATGATGTACATGTGAATCATAAAAATATCTGAAAGTATCACATTTGTAGGTTGAAGTGAATCTTTTCTATGATCATGTAGGTAACCACCTTCATGTGCCCTTGATGAAACTTACCATTCTGTACATGCAATTATTAGTACAAGCCAAAATAATTCACTACCCAAGAACCTAAAACAGAACTGATTGATGGTCTGATAATAACCAATTTTGTTGGTTGTGGCCATTGAACCAACACCTCACATAATGTGGGATAAAAACCACGCGTCTTTTGTATTGTAGAGTATACATCTGACTTTCAATCTTTCAAATAAATAAGGGTTTTTGTAGATACTTCTAGAAAGATATTAGAGTATCATCGGTATAGTCAGGGGATTTATGTTTGATATATATATATATGTGTATATATATATATATGTATATATATACATGTGTGTGAGAATATGTGGAACCCTGTTATATTTCATTTCAAAAGAGCCTTTGAGGAGAAAAGAGAAGTTTTGACATGTATATGGAAGAGAAATGGTTCAAGTCTAGCCGATGTTTCTCCAACAGACGCTAGACGGGCACAAAATGTCTCAAACTGTCGAGTTTCTAGAGTGGTAGACCTTGACTATGATACCATGTGACAATATGTGGAACTTCTTTAGATTACGCTCTAAAAAAGTCCTTGAAGAGAGAATGGAGGTTCCAACATACTTGGAGGGGAGGTAATCCAAAGTCTAAAGGGTTGTTTGGTTGGTTTTTCATCAAATCATGTATGGATAAAGTTGTGTGTGTAAATTGAAAAGGTTTTTGTTTGTGAAGGGTTTTTTCATAGATAGAAGGAGCGCGTTTTTAGTTGGGAGGGACATGTTTGAAAAAAAACTTGGCTTTCTGCATAAAACTCCCACTTTAAAGCGAACTGAATAAGCCGTTTTCTATATCATTAAGCCATTACCAAATAGTTGCAAGTTCCATTAAACTCATTAAGCCGTTAACAAATAGTCATATGTATAGTTGACAATGAGAGACTCCAATTATATATGTTTATCTATTTTGTATAGCAAAGAGTAACCTATGTGATTTAATAGGATGTTGCATCTTTTTTGTTTTTTATTATGAGTCTTGTAATATTGTAGTTAAGGCAGAAGCAACCTGTTTATTTATCTAGTTTATGAGTTAATTTTGATTTCTGTTGTTCATGTTTCATTGTAAATGCATAGTTCTATTGATGTTATTGTGTCAAATTTGGTGGATTATAATTCGTACTTATTAAATAGACATGCTATAAGATCATCTTCGATGGGACACTAAGGGGCTGTTTGTGGAACACTTATTGGGTTACTTACCTTAACAAATGAACATGACAAGGACCGAGAATCTTACTTGGTAAGAGCGACGACAAGGATTGAGAGTCTTACCTGGTAAGTGAGGGTGACGACTCTTTCCCGGTTAGTGCTTACATTGTTGCATACGACGCTGTTTTGATGAACTAGTTACTTACCCGGTAAGGTAAGTGATAGTGTTGAATCTTACCGGTAAACGCGTATCGAGAAAACACTTATGGAGTAAACGTTTGTGTAAACAACTCCTAAATCTTTACACCAAATAACAAAATTGACATCAAATCACTCCAATGGATACACCATTAAATTTGGTGTGATGAATAGTAGAACACCAGATTTGGTATAATATTGTTCAGTTGCATCAACCGGTGAAAATAACAAGGAATAAATACTTAGAATCTTACATTTTGGTGTAAGATTTGGTGTTACCATTGGAAAAGCTATATTGTTTGCACCAATTTTTACGGACTTGGTGTTACCCATTGGAGATGTCCTATGAGCATCTATAATGGTAAAGCTTTTTTGAAAAGGTAGAACCTACAAACTTAGGTGGTAAAGCTTATTATGTTTTAAGCAAAAAAGTGATGTTTGTAGTCAGTAGTTTTTTTCAACGCGGCCATTAAGCTCTTCAAAAAATTTCATTATAGATAATCTAAAAGATGAGTTTAGCTCAATAGACAATAAGACTTAAGTCCTTAGGGATTCTCTTCAGAGGTGACCGATTCAAGTCCTGCAAGGTCATTGGAGATTCTCCTTGCTGTTCTCCAAGAACCCTTAGATCAGTCGAGATGCGCACAAATTAACTCAAAAATCCATGGTTAATTTTTTTTCTTCCTGTATAGAGTTTGCATATGGACCACACAATTCTGCAAGCTTTAACCTAAAGTCCTACATTTGGTACACATGAGTTTATAGATGTCTTTTGGCCACTTTTGACACACGAAAAACACCTTAGCTGGCAGTAAAGTAGAAACCATTGTCCCTGTGTTGGAGCTATTAGCTTCTCCACCATTCCAGAATTATTGGATTTCTTTTCTATTATATATATATATATATATATATATAAAAGGGGCTCCAGTACATCCACAACACTTTGCTGGTGGATTTATTTTATTACCCAAATTATTTTGTAGATTATTCTTTTTAGTGTAACCAATGATTTAATGAATACGGGTTGTTTACAAAATGCTTATCTGGTAAGTCTTTATTGGCAAGAGTTATCGTCCTTGCTTTTTTTCTTATGTTGACCATCGTATTCCGGTCAGTTTGTATGCACCTTGAGTAATCTCAGAGGCCCTAGAGAACAACCATTGAAATCCTTAGTTGGCTTGCAGGACTCAAACTGGTGATACTGTGATGGGGGAGACCTATTAGGAGTGAACGGGCTCTCGTGCACATGCTCACTCGATTATTGCAAGAGAAAAATAGGCTTTAGAAAGATGCACCTGCTTGATTTTGAAAGGTGTCCTTAAATACTTTAAAATCAAATCTATAACATAAATTAAACATGGATAGGATGGTTAGATTAATCTTCCATATGCAAGAGGTCATGGATTCAAATCTTATTTCAATTGAAATTCTAATTTTTTATTTTGTTTTTTAATTTTAAGATCCAGTCCCAAAGCCCCAAGAACCTTAGGTACAATTATATGCATTATTACAAATATGCCAATCAATTTTGAAGTATATAATATTTATATACAATAAAAAGAACAAAAAAAAAAAAAACTCACACGCCCTTCTCATTTTTCGTGAGGTTTGAATCCTTGAACTCCTAAGGGGCTAATGTTTCACATACCGCTAGTTGAAAGGCCAATTGGTTTGCCAAAGGCATTTTTTTGTTAATATTTTTCCCATTTTGATTTTATTATTATTTTTCATGATTTGTTTTCTTTCTCAATGTCAATTCATCTTAAAAATCGTCTATTTTTATCTCATTCAAGGAAACATGTATTTAATTTAAAGATAAAAGTAGATTTCATTTGATAAAATGTATTTTATTC